AAGATTATACAAAAAAAGTTTTAAGTCAACCGGGCAAAAACTTTAGAAGTTATGTCAAAATTAGTACCCTAACCTCCAAGACTTTAGGTACGTAAGTGCATCTTTAAGTACATTTTTCTCGAAACCACGTTTTGAAAGTGCGTGTTCATCGGCATTTCTAAACGGCTTAACCGATAGTTTTCAAATTTGTCGCATATTTTTCTGCATAAAAAAAACCTGCCCCCTATGAATTTTTTTTTTTAAATTTTTTAACTTTAAACATTTTATTTTTAAGCCGAAAGTAAAATTTACGTGAAAAAAGCATTTTTAACTTTGGACTATCAAAAAAATTCTTAAAAATAAAATATTAAAAACAGGGCTTCATAGGGGGCGGGTTTTTTTAATTCTTAAGCGAAATGTAAAAACAAAATGGAAATCCGATCATTTTTAGCGGAGGTACAGTGAACACCGCAAAACGCCTTTGTTTAATAGTGTTCCAGCAATCGCTTTGCCACCGATATATTAGCCGATAGTATCGGCTATAAAAATTAGTGGATGTTAATTAAATGACACTTAATAATATACAAAAGGTTTGAATTAAATCCATCCAACCAGCTTTTATAGAAAAAATCGCAAAGTTAGTCGATTTTTTGGTGCCAAAGACCCTACCCTCCCTTAACAAAATTCGGTCGGCTATATTATTAAGCTGCCATAGAAAGGATCAGCAAATTAATGCCAAAATAATAAGAAAGCAGCTAAAATTTTGTTTGAGCTTACGTATACGCAAGTAAATCTAAATTTAATGTTTTTGTAAGTTAATAAGAATACTCTGCAAGGGTATATAAGCTTCGATTGGCCGAAGTTAGCTTCCGTTCCGTTTTTATATTAAGTATGTTTGGATTTGGAGGCGTGTTTTTATTTGGTTCAACGAGCACCAACACAAAAAAAATTACGAAAAACATGGCATCAAAATTGTTTTTTGGATGGTCGGTTTTTTGGAGAATGGCTCATATTTACCTTTTACCTTTTCCTAGGAACTGAGAATTGGATGTTCTTTTTACCCTACCTCGGAGTTTTTATTTGGCAAATACCGTGTACATTACCTAAGTAAAATAAAGCAGTACCTGTCTTACCTGTGACCAAGTCTAGAGTTAATGCAAGAAAAAATTACTTTTTGGCCATAGTCTACTCCTTAAAAAGTGATGAGCAAATTTGGAAAATATATTCTTGCTCAGGAACACTAGCCGAGTCGATCTAGCCATGTCCGTCTGTCTCTTTGAACGCTGAGATCTCGGAAACTACAATAGCTAGAAAGTTGGGATTAACCACGCATATTCATGGGCTTCATACGCAGCGCAAGTTTGTTTCAGCTGAGCGTCAAGACCACTCTAATGCCCATACTCGCCTTAAAGGACTTTAAAATATGTCTGGCGCTCACATTTTTAAAGATTTAAGAAAAGTATACATTTTGTTCTGTTTAAAAATACCTATCAAAATGTAGATGACAATTTGAAAGTCCGACCATTTATTAAAAAGTTATGAATAAAAATTAAAACAGCCGCTAGATGGCGCCAGTAGCTTTGATGACTGCATATCTCGATCTCCCTCGCACTCCCTTCAGCTGAGTAACGGGTATCTGATAGTCGAAGCTCTCACCATAGCGTTCCATGTTTTTTTGAAGACATATTTTACAGAAAAAATTTGTTTAAACAAGAAAGTAAGTTAACTTCGGCCAGCCGAAGTTTATATACCCTTGCAGATTAGACCCCTGCATGAATCATTCAATTTTTGTTTTATCATAGTATATGAAATAAATTGAATGTTGTTCTAATTCATTTCGAATTGAATGAATCGAATGAATTATTTTATGAATTTTTTGCATTTTCCAGATTTTTTTTGTGCTTAGGTTAGGTTAGGTTAGGACGGCTGCCAGACTATAGCCCGGCACACTTAGACCTCTGTGGGTCCATTGTGATACCGTATGATCTCTATATTTGGGTCCCCTATCCGTTAAGAGTCAGCCTGTAGGTTGGTCGATCAGCAAGTCCCCCATCCGGAGGATTTAATAAAAGAGCTTAGACTCTTCAGATTAATCTGCGATATTTCGGTCAGGTCATTTATGAAAGGATATCCTAAGTGTTTCAGTCTAAGCCTGCATAGGGCTGGGCATGAACAGAGTAGGTGTTCCACCGTTTCCTCTTCTTCCTCATCCCTGCAGCTTCTACAAAAATCATTTTTTGGGGCTTTTAGCCTGCCGGCCTGTGCGCCAACGAGCCAGTGGCCTGTGAGTACTCGAATTAGCATGCCGCACTCAGTGCGGCTGAAATTAAGTAGGTCTGATGTTTTCTTATTGTTTATTGCAGGCCATGTCTGGTGAGAGATTCGGCACTGCAGTGTGTTTTGCCAATTGGTGTTGGCTAATTTGCAGAAATGGTTTTTAATAATTAGCTTAGCTTTTTAATTAGCCATAGGCATGCCAACAGTCTCCTTTCCTGGAAGGAGAGGTATGGTGGTTCCTTGCCTGGCTAGCTCGTCTGCTATACAGTTGCCTACGATATCCCGGTGACCCGGAACCCATATAAGGCTGACAGTAAACTGACAAGCCATCTCGTGAAGAGATTTGCGACAGTCTGCTATTGTTCGGGAGTTTGTGTTCGTCGAGTAGATTTATTTAATAGCCGCTTGGCTATCACTATATATGTTTATGTGTCTGTTCTGGGTGTTTAAGCCCCTTAAACAGACGAGTGCTTCCATTATAGCATACACTTCCGCTTGGAAGACACTGCAGTGGTCAGGAAGTCTGAATGACTGCCTGATCTCTAATTGCTCGGAGTATATGCCTCCACCTACGTGTCCGTCAAGTTTGGAGCCGTCTGTATATATACAGATTGCGTCTATTGAGCCCGGTCGGCACCGATCCCATGCTTCCCTACCTGGGATCAGAGCTTTGAAGGGCGTGTGACTGTATTCACGGGTTTTACATAGATCCGTTTTTGGCGGGATCAAATTGTCATGCTGAAGAATCTTAGCGTGACCATACAGTTGGGAGTTCCATTGCCCCGTATCCCTTAGTCGAATGGATGCCGATTTCGCCCTTTCCATGCCTGATAAGTCCAGGCTCTGGAGGTTCAAGATCGCATTCAGCGCTTCGTTTGGGGTAGTTCGAAGGGCTCCACTAATACACAAAGCCGCCATTCGCCTTTGTTAAGGGGAGTTAAGATACATTGTTTGTGTAGAGCGGTCCACCACAGAGCCACTCCATATAGTAGGATTGGCTTTTTTGTGCTTATTTTGAGAACAAAAAGTGGAAAATTTTTAACAAATCATTGTTAACTGCAAAGTAAATAAAATTCAGGCAGAGTTAATCACAAAATTATGGCCCTTTCTTCTTCAAAATAAATTGTCGTTTGAATTATTTCGGAATTCATGCCATTCATTCATTCAATTGTATTAAACTCAAAATTCTAATTAAATCATTCATATAAAAGAAAAAATTCAAAATAATTCATTGAATCCATTCATGCAGGGCTCTATTGCAGATATGCCTACTTAAAATGTTGCTTTTACATTGTCAAAAATTAAAACGCCTACTTTCTACAAAGTTACAATGTTTTTTCTATTTTTCTTTTTGATAATTCCTATGGGAGTCATAAGATATAGTGGTCCGATCCGGCTCGTTCCGACATATGTACTACCTGCAATAGAAAGAAGATTTTTGGGAAAGTTTCATCGCGATAGCTTTAAAACTGAGGGACTAGTTCGCATAGAAACGGACAGACGGACAGAAGGACAGACGGACATGGCTAGATGGACTCGGTGATGCTGTTGATGCTGATCAAGAATATATATACTTTATGTGGTCGGAAACGTCTCCTTCACTGCGTTGCAAACATCTGACTGAAATTATAACTCTGCAAGGGTATAAAAAGGAAGTTGTCAGTATTTCCTTGACACCGACGAATTTTTTGTTTGGTCTCCAAACTAGAGCCCTGCATGAATCAACACATTTCGAGACAATTTATGTTTCAAAACATTTTCACAAATTCGAATGATTCGAAACATCTAACACAAAGTGGTCCTATGTTTCAGCCTCTATAGAAAATCTGGTATTAATAGGAAACAATTAATTACCCAACGTAAAATCGACGCCTTCCCAATGTTTCGGATCACCTTAGATAGTTTCATATATACCATGTACAATATGGGCACTTCCAAAAAAAAGTCCACCAAGCCAAAAACCTTGAAACTTGAATAAAACATATTTCCACATGATTTTGCCCCGATATTAGTTTCTAATTAGTTGGATACTGAGCTTAACTACAAATTTGGAGTATAGTTTGATTATTTTTATGACAAACCCCACCAATATACGCAAAAATCAGTTTTTGGCTATTTTTTTGTTATTTTTTGGACCTGTCTTCTGTTATTAATTTATCCTATAGGAATGCTAATTTGTGACATTTTTCTGTACTGAATGCTTCATTCACATGCTAAACTATTAAGTTAAAAGCAAAACATCCAGCAATTGAGAGATAGAGGTAAAGAAATCTGCTTTACAAAACAGCCGGAAAAAATGTCCCGAGCGACATGTCCCGAGCGAATGTGGTTGAAACTGCATAAAAAAAACAACGGAAAACAATTTTTGAGTAAAACCAAAAGCATTTCACAGCGACATGTTTGAACAACATTCTAAAAAAATCGCATTCAAATATTCCATCAGAATTAGCTAATTTCTGGTGTTGTATGAACTTCCCCGAAATCCACTTCTATTTTTGTCCCGAGCGAATACGGCAGTTTTTTACCGATATCTTAAAAACTAAAAGTGGTACAAAATCAAGATTTTTACCAAAAATAGAGCTTGGATAGAGTGAAAAGAAAAGCCCATAATTAAAATTAAAATCCATTGTTTTACAATTTTTTTCAACTTTAAAGGTGTGCAAATGTCCCGAGCGACATTTTGGAAGTGCCCATATTCATTATACATATACAACAAAATATCCGTTATAGACGAAACCAAAATATTTTCATTAGTTAGGTAACGTGTTTTCTTTTTTGAAAAGCAAAACCAAATATAAATATCCGTGCGTGGCTTAGTGGAAATTTTAACTTATCAATACCTAAAAATAACATTATAAATTTAATGCATAGCGGGGGGTCAAAAAAACAATATAACACGACATTTTTGATTTTCGATTGCATAAAACTAGAATACATCTGAATACGGAAAAGGGATGGATTGCCTTGTTAAATTGCGGTACGCTATTGAACCAAAACGGTATCGTGCTCCTGTACAGAATAGAAGTCCAGCGTTTTTGCGTTGTTGTCCAGCGGAACAATTAGGTCCGGGTGCTGGCCATCAACATAGCAAAGTTGGGGAACGTTGCCGCCAAGCCGAAATCGCTTCATAACCAGTCCCTGCAGAGTCTGCACAGTAATCATTCGTGGAATCTTTTTCTCCCAAGTCTCGCCCGTAATCTGATGCCGTATGCAAACGTTAATTAGGTTCGATTGTTTCGCTTCGTTACGCGGTACAAAGTCTAACGGGGTACCATACTCTGAAAAAATATGTTAAAATTTCGGAATCCCCTAAACACAAAAAATACATACTTTTAACTAGCAGTGGATAGGTGCGATGTCTCCGGCAGAACTCACGCAAGGAATCCGATCCTTGGTGCGTCGCCTGCATCCACTCCAGGGCATACTTCTTCCAAATGTCGTACTCAGCCCCGCGTCTCTCCTCCGCTGTTACCTCAGCCTTGTTGATAAATTGCAGGCCGCCTATGCTAGCCACTGCCTTTGAGACCATTTCATCGAAATTTGACTTCAGATGCGGAGTCTTATTCAGGCGCCTTAGCTGCGGTAGCTTGTCCAGCTCGTTAAAAGCATCAGCCTGTTTTTGAAAATGATATTTCAGTTTTATTTTTGATTAAATAAGTGGAGTCGGGGTCTACCTCATTCCAAATGGGATTGTGAAGAAGATTCAACTGCTCCAGCGAGACAAACAAATTAAGCTTTTCCTGCGGATCACAATCGGGAAGTTTTATTTCCTCGATGCCGTTCTCCATGAGATTCAACACGCGCAACGTCGTCAAGTTGCCCAACTTTGCCACCTGGTCAAAATCCATTATGTTCGTTCGGTGCAAGTCGAGCTCCTGGAGTTGCCTGAAGATCTTCTTTCGATCGACCTCGACAAGCTGACCGAAAGAGTTCTCCTGCAGACCCAGTGACACAATATTCGGCCAGAGAAGCGCCGTCTGCATCACGTCTTTCCAATCCGAGAAGCCGCAGTTGCGCAGGTTGATGCGCTTTAGCTGCCGAAAGGAGGGCTCCAGATCAGTGATTTGGGATACCATGGGCAGGACCAGTCGGTTGGAGCTGAAGGGTTAGTAAAATGACAGTGGCAGTCAACCACAAATTAATTGTGCTCACTCACCTCAAGTTCAGGCTACTCAGGCAGGGCAGCTGCTGTGCGATGCTGGCCACAATCTCCCAGTTCCAGATCAAAGTGTGGCTCACGTTCAGCGTGGTCAGATGTGTCAGCTCCTTCAGGTACCCGGCAGCGTTTACGGGGGTCTGGTCAACGCTTACCTCTGCCAGCTGCTCGAACTTGCTCTGCTTTCGAGCGATTTTGTCCATGCCCACGACCTCAAAGAGCGAGGCCTGCAGGCTAGCTTGGGCCTCCCGGATGAGGGACTCGTCGACATTGCTCGAGTCGTAGTTCAGGTACCTCTCCCGGGCAGCGTCCTCCAGGGTGGCGCACGGCCCCACCTTGCCCGGTCGGATGAAACTGCCCCCCGTGGGCGTCTGCGTCTGAAAGTAGCGCTTGCCGTCTACGATGCCGTTGTGCTTGCCCCGCAGCCCGTCGTCCCACTCGATGCCCAGCCAGGTGCCCATGTGGCCGCTCACCTGAAACACGGACCACAGATCGGGATTAAGCTCTGCGGAAAACCTACTCCATCAACTTCCGTACCTCTCCCACATAACGCACTGTGCCGTAGTTCTCGGCTATCTTGATGCGGGTCCCGAGGGGATAAAACAGCTGTGCCTCATCGATAATTCCCACCATCGCTGGGCTGTTGTTTTTGTGTTTGCGGCGCCCACACAAATACACACGGGTCACTCGCACACGCCTTTGTGTCTGTTGTTCGCAGCTGCTGCCCAATTGTGCTCTATTTTGTCTCCGGCTGATTTTTCCCGGGCTTAAATCGACTTTGCAGCTTAGAAGGTTCGCAATTAGTGCTGTGAAAAATAATACAGCCGAAATTCTGAGTCACAAACTAATATTTTTATTTAGTTAGGTCTAGTGTGGCCGTAAGTGGAAGGTAACGAAATAAAGACCATTGGTGCAATCTGGTCTTACTTTACGGGCCAATGTAATGTAACGTTGCTATACGTAACGTAACTTTCTATACAGTACGTTACGTCTCGGCTATTCACATTATAGCCTGTTCAGACAGATGTACATATTTCTGCAACAGCGACCAAATTCATCCACAATTCATCCACAACAACAGGTATTGAAAAGACCAAATTAAAAATCAAAAAGATAATTCGAAATCCACCATAACTTGGGGGCTAAATTTTAAATTAATTAATTGGATTTTAAAAATCTATACGGCTGCTCCGAACAATATGATTTTTGGATCAACAGTTAATTCTATGACCCAAATGCTTAAATTTAAATTTTTCATATTGTTAACAATTTTGAAGTATTTTCAAAGAATTTAAAGATTTCTTCAGCATTTTTATACCCTTGCAGAGGGTATTATAATTTCAGTAAAAAATGTGCAATGCAATGATCAGCACCAATAGCCGAGTCCATCTAGCCACGTCCGTCTGTCCGTTTATCAGTCTGTCCGTCTGTCTGTCTATCCGTCTGCCAGTTTCTATGCGAACTATCAGTTTTAAAGCTATCGCGATAAAACTTTCACAAAAGTCTTCTTTCTATTGCAAGTAGTAGGGGAGAGGTCTTTAGGTTGGTACACTTTTTGTTTTTAATCTGCCATTTCGACATTCACTTGTGAAACTTCACGTATTTGGTACTGATCGAAAGGTTAGTCTATTAGCTTAAAAAAACCAATAACAAATTTTTTTTTCGTTAGGGAAAAATAAAAAATAATTTTTTTTTAAGTGTCAAAAAACGACATTTTGAAAAAGAGGTCTGTAAGTTGGGACACTTTTATAAGTCAATAATACTCACACAAAAAGTACTCGAAACTATAAGGAACTATTTATTTATGTTAATTTAATCAATTTTAGTTCGTCCTAAATTATTTCCCATCGATTTTTTAAGAACTTAGACCAAATAACAATTAAAATCAAAAGGCTCTTTGAACATTCACTTTTCCCCTAATATCAAAGAAATGTACTAGGCAGAAAGCGACCTCTGTCGGGCTAAGGGCCGGTTTATCGAGTCCCTGTCAAAGTCCCTAATAGCTATCTGTTCGAAAAACTTAAAGACCAGATAAACTGTTCGTAAAAGCAAATCCGCTTTCTCGACCGTTTAATTTATCTGAACGAGAAACAATTACAGAGTGCTGTTAACGCACAAAATTGTGCTGTAAAGGGGAAAAAATGGCGTGCTTCGATTATTTCATCAGCTGTTTGGGTATAATTCAAAGGAAAAGTCAGCTGTGATTTCGTTTCTTCTTCATAGTTGGCTTTGGGAAATCAGCTGTCATTCTATCGAGTCGAAAACAGCTTAACAGGGACTCCGAGTCCCTGTCAAAGTTAGCTCTCACATTGTTGCTCGAGAAAGCCAAAATGCCTTAGCAGGGACTCTATCTGTTCGAGAAATGTTAGCCGGCACTCGAGAAACCGGCCCTAAGGCCTTTTTGTATGAAAAACGGGTGTCTCAACTTACACGATCAAAGTGTCTCAACTTACACAAAATGGGATGTTTCTGAAAAAAATTAATAACTTTTTTCTGACTGTCATATCAACCTGATTCCCTTTTTAATTTATTAACAGTTAAATTACTAATGTTTTAAATCTTTTACAAAGTTAATTTAACGTGCTTAAATAAATTTGAATGGAATTTGGAAAAAGTGGACAAAAACTTTTTTGGTGAAAAATGGTACACGACTCTCACAGCTAATATCTGGCTAGAGCCTGGCTTATTATGTTTTCCCTAAAAGTTTTGTCACTAAAAAGGACTACAAAAAAGAATTAAAACAATTTTTTTAGTGAAAAAGTTTTGAGAAAATTGAGTGTCTCAACTTACAGACCGTCCCAACCTACAGACCTCTCCCCTACATATGTCGGATCGGACCACTATATCTTAAGGATCCCATAGGAATAATAAAACAAATACATATAAGAAAATTCATTGTAACTTTGTTGAAAGATGGCATTTTGATTTTTGACAACTTAAAAACAACATTTTAAATAGGCACGCAGAATCTGGAATCCATGGAACTGCACCGATAGAGTGAGCATTAAACTATAGGTATTTTACGTAACTCATACCTATTTTTGAGCACAAGTGACCCTTGCTTTAAAAATATTTATACATGGGCGTAAGCTAAAAGCTGGAGGGGGATTACACTTCAAGCATTTTAGCCCCCAAAGATTAGTAGGCTACGCTCATGTGCTTATACTCAAAGCAAAACTACTTAGATCGTTTAGAATTATGATATTTAAAATTGTGACAGGTTTGGGCACTGTTTGTGAATTGTCACTGTGAAGGAAGTAAGAAAAACAATTTTAAAAATTCCAAAACAATACACAAAAACCTGATGAGTGTCCTAAAAATTAGGAAAAATATTTTTATTTAATTTTTAAACGCTGTTCACAAATGAAGATTTTTAAACTTTGCTGTGACTATAAAATTTTGAATGCGCCCACCTCCTCTTGTGGTTGAGTTAGATTGAATTTTCCAAAACGACCGTATAAAAGAGACATGTAACTATTTAATTCCGAAAAGATTACCAAAATTGGTTAACCACTATTGAAGATATATCCCAAAAGCCGAAGAAATTTTGTGATTTTCTTAAATTAACGATACCGCAAATGCCAGAGCTGATGGACTATAGGCGTAGTGGCAACTTATGCTTAGAAAAGCCTCATTTATCGAAATAAAATGGTGGCCAGCCTGGACATCGACCCATGTCACATTTTGTGGGCCTGTGTAATAGGTAAAACTTTACATGTTTCAAGTTCCGTAAAACTTTTCAACAAATAACAGTTGTTTGAAAATTCAACAGGAACCATTTTGGGTCGTTCCCTTAGTTGTTAAAATTTTCTGTTGAATTTTTAACAATCAGCAATTCAACAGTTTAGGGACTACCCTCAACATTTTTCGACTAGTGAAACTCTTGGGGCCGGTTTCTCGAGTCCCTGTCAAAGTCCTTGATAGCTATCTTTCCAAAAAACTTAAAGACCAACTGTTCGTAAAAGCAAATTGGCTTTCTCGACTCCTTAAATTTATCTGAACGAGAAACAATTACAGAGTGCTTTTAGGGCAAAGTCAGCTGTGATTTCGTTTCTTCTTCTTAGTTGGCTTTGCGAAATCAGATTCCATTTTATCGAGCCGAAAACGCTTAACAGAGAGTCCTAGTCCCTGTCAAAGTTAGCTCTCAGATTAGATTTTTGTTTTTTATTTTAAAAATAACTCTGACCAGCTCAGCTCGTTAAAAATTGATTTTCACATCGATGTTTTCTTTATCTGTTTGAGAAATGTTATACGGCACTCGAGAAACCCGCCCTTACTCGACCTGATCTACTATACTTGCTTTTTTCAATCAAGACAAACAGCTCATCGTAAAAATTTTGAAGCTGAACTACTCGACCCGAAAATTTTTGTGAGCTGATTTACTGGAACTCTTTTTAAAGGGCACTTCGAATATACTCGTACGGGGCTCTAGTTTAAATTGAGTTTAACTCGATTTGTCAATACCTCCATGGGCACGCCAACAATTTTTCAAATCGGACCATTTATTAGAAGTAATGATCAAAAAATTTAATGGACGGTACGTGGCACTATCTTGGAAACAGCCGCTTTGCTGCTTGCATCTCTCCATCTCTCTCGCATTTTCTATAGCTGAGTATCTGGTAGTCGAGGCACTCGACTATAGCGTTCTCTCTTGTTTTATATATATTTATTAGCGTAAAGGCACCGAAGTATTATCTTTTCTGGGTCACTCGCCCCTCAACCATCGACCACTGCTAATCCAATTTGCGGCCGTCCACGGCAGACTCCAATACACAGATGGCTGAATGCACATCCGCATCTATATGTATACATTTGCATGTACACATACTTGGCGTATGGTGCACCCTCGACCCAAAGCAGCCGGTACAATAATTTTGGCGCCTAAATTAGCAGAGAGAAAGAGACCGAGAGAGAAAAAGCTTGGGAACGCGTGCGCCGAGAGGAAGAAAGTGAAAGCTTGCCCAAGGACAATGCGAGGCAACGGATCTAAAAGTCTCAGTCGCTCCCAGCCAGTCGCCCAGCAGAAACGACGCGCCTTACTTGCTACCCGCTTTTTTCCGGCCCACGGTTCGCGTGCTTGATGCAGATATGTATGCAGACGAAATGTGATTAAAGAAAAATAAGTAACAACAAATGTCCCATAGCCGTGGTTTTTGCTTAACGGTGTCGACAGCTCGTCGGTGATTCGAGGGGACGTAATCGATCCTAGCATCAAACCACGTGGTAGTTCGAGACAGGGGACGTATAGGTAATGGAAAAATCGAATCAATGTCGCCAAATGGCGGCTCTGTCGGACTTTTCTCTTATATTTTTCCGCAAAGTACGGTATCGTTTTTTTTTTAAAGGTAGTCGTTAAAAAACAGCGATAATACAGTTTAAACTCGGCGAGATGAGTTTTCTATACCAGCGAAAATATACATATAATACAACATATATTTGCTTGAACCCAAAGGCCGATTTCAATATGTACATTTATCGAAGAGCTTAAAGCCTTAAAGCCCAACCGTCCATCCATTAAAACTGATTACCTAACCCACAAAGGGGTACAATTAAATCAATATTGTCCCGCATTTTCGTTGCCATATGTTTTTGCTGTTGCCAGTGATAGTTGGTCAAAATAGTTGACAGTTCGGTATTTTTGTCCCAGTTCCTTTTTTACTTAGAGCTTTCCTATTTTCTTGGTTTTAAGCAACCCTGTCCTTCGTGCTCTTGACAATGAAGAGCACAATGTCAGGGTCTGCCCGTCAGTAATTCTGCTTATTAAATGTGATCCTTTTGGTCCATATTTGTGGCCTGATCTGACACATTATTCATAGCCTGTTTGGGGGCACACGGTCAAAAGTGAGCTTCGAATACGTCGCTGACTAAAAATGCAATAAGCCCGATGCGCTGACACACGGTGGCTAAATGTCTCGGCCTTCGGCTTTACGCTTTTGGGTCTTGGGCCTTGGCAAGTGGCCAATGGACAGCTGCGGCAACTGTCAACGCTGACATGATTTCATATTTATCTTTGCTCTTTGCCGGCAGGCCAGTGCCCATTTGGTTTTCCCGTATATTTAGCACCCAAGGACCCACTCCAACCCCTCCCGTGATATAGCACTCGCTGCTGCAATAACTAAGTTCAACAAGCAGTCGCGACGAATTGCACTCGGCAGAAAACACCGACCCACCTGCCGACGAAAGCGGAAGTCGAACAGTTTCATTTTGAGTTAGGCGGCTTAGCAGCCAGCAACTGAATGTGGTACAACTTCGCAAAAATTATATCATAACGATTTGTTCTCCGGTTAAAACATACCTCTAATTTAAAATATAAGTTTTTACATCAAGTAAATTTAAAAAGTCTGTTTCAACCTTGCCAAATTGAAAACTACCCAAAGACATGTAGGCTTTTATATGGCTTTGGAATATGACAACTTTTCCTCTGTGCATTATATGACTAATCAATTTATGTTCCTTTTTCGTATACAAGTTTGTGACCATTATTATAATCAATAATCTTTTTTAGAACCAATTAACCGAGGATCTCATTGAACTATCGCAGATAACACCGCCATAAAATGGGATGGGACTGGGACTGGGCAGTCGGAGGCATATCCGATGAGATCCCAAGGACTACTGGGCCAGAGTGCATCAATTACATGACAGACAGACGACGTTGGGTGGAGACGGTACTGCTGTCCGCCCTCTTCATCTTTATAATGCACCGCTCTTGGAAACGTCTGGCACCTATTAAACTGCCACCCCTGCACGAGATTCAGAAGCCACACAGTCCGACGAGGCTATTTCTCCTAATCGCTTTGTCAATGATTTTCGGCATTGAAATGGGCTTTAAACTCTCCGGGCAGTCGATGATTTTCGCCCTGAATCCATGTCACGTACAATCGTGTCTGCAGGTTATAGCTTTATCATGTGGCTTAAATACCCGAAATTTATATTGTGTATGATTCAAACAGATTTTTCTACTGGCTGCCAAGCCGACGAAGACGACGACAGCACTCTTTCGGATCCAGATGAGCAACCTCAACGGCCCTTTCCTGGCCTTTCTTTTCCCAGAGGTGGAAGGCCGCACATATCCCTTCGAGCAGGCTACGTATTGGATCCAGCACGCACTCCTCTACATTATCCCTATTTATCTTATTCGGAGCGGTAATTATAGAACACTTTGAGTTAGGCTTGAAACTTAACCGTATTTTCTCTTTTAGGAGCGTACACCGTCGAGGATTTCAGCGAATTTCACTGGTCTCACATAGGTACCGCCTTCATGTTGTTTTACCACTTCGTCCTGCTTTCGCCGCTCTCTATAGTAAGTTGTCTTACACAGAATATTTATATTACTTTCACCGATGCATTTCCAAGATCATTGTATGAAAGAAAAAAACCTCTTAAAGAGATATATGTATATATATAAAGTATATACATTCTTGATCAGGATCACTAGCCCAGTCGATGTATCCATGTATGTCTGTCTGTCTGTCTGTCTGGATGAACGGTGAGATCTCGGAAACTACAAAAGCTAGAATTAACATTTTTAAATCGGACAATCCATTAAAAAGTGAGCAAAATTGAAAACAGCTACTAGATGGCGCTGACGACTGCTTACCTCTTTGCCTCGCACTTCCTTTAGCTGAGTAACTGGTATCTTGTTGTACATATGTTAAGTCATAGAAAGATCCTGTTTTATTTCTATAGAAAAAACGATACAAACCATGAAAAAATTTCTTCACGTACATTCCTAAGAAATATGGGTCCATCGAGGATAATTGTTTCGAGTTTCCATAATCAAAACAATTACCAAAAACAATTGCATTTTAAAGCTAGTAGTTATGTATACATTACTATATAACCTAGGGGAAATCACGGTACATCGATAATACTATTTTTACTACATAATAATATTTTTCTCCCTACTTCTTCGCAGTTCACTGGCATCAATCTGGACCACATGCTGTGTGCGGCGATGTCGGATCCATTTCAGGGCTCCAACTACCGACTGTTCGCCTGTTGCCACCAGACTTTGCTGTGTCCGCTGCTGAGCAAGGGCACCGTTCTGCTGTTCAACCGCCGAAGTAGGAGCAGTACCGGCCTAAACGGATCGGGGGGTTTGCCGGCGGCGAGGAGCGAGGAGGCTCAGTACCACCAGCTGACTCCTGCCGAGTATGCTACGCAGGGGGACGCGATCATGAGACATCGATTCAGCGGCCAGGATGCGGCGGACGAAGGACATTCCCATGACGCAGGCGAGATGGCGTCCCTATCGGCGGAGTACATGCCGACGACCAAGATCGACTAGTACAGAAGCGGAAAGGAGACCGAGAAATGCCTACTGCGTCTATTATGCCTGTCAATTCCGAATCCGCGTAGGGCACCTTCAGTGCTAGCCTCATAGCCCGATTATTCTGAAATACGATGGATTTCATGTGAGAACTGAGAGCTGAATGTGTTGATCAAAGACGTGTAGATAATAACAATTAAGGCTAATTTTCATGCTCATCGAGGTTATACTTCTAAAAAAACCAAAAATTAAATACTTGTTCAATTCTTACTTTGATGGCAAATCAAAAGTTAAAACACAGCAAGGAATAACAATAGTATACATTTCTTAAATTGTAAGCCCCTAGCGAACCAAAAATAAATTACAATTTCAAATCGCGCGCCAAGGGTTGGGCCACTCCGTAGATACGCGGTCGGTCCGGCAACACTGACCAACTGAACTAACCAGTGAAGCAGCCAAAGTCGGCCGAAAATCCAACGCAGCCGCCAGGTCAATAGTAAACGCTTCAAATAGGTGAGGTTGGTTTTCCTATTTCTTGCAGTCGACTTACAGCAGTTTCCTGTCGTAGCGAGGCTCAGCTGTTCAATGTTTTGGTTCGCCCGCGAACTAGTTCGCTCACGCTGAGTCACGACGAGCTAGCATTTTGTTCTAACGTGAGTGACGAAGCGCCGCGCACCAAATTCTGCTGTTTGCCAAAGAAAAACGTGCTTATTGCAATTTACTTATTTTCCGATAGACCGACTCGTCTCTCCGCGCTAACCCTGTGCCTGTGCTGTGGCAGAACGGTCTGCAATACTTTGTTTTGATTCCTTGTGCCCTGCGACGACAAACAGCACAACCGCCCTAGAAAAAAGGCCCTCGTTAAGTATGCGCTTCTCGGGCTTTCGCAAATGTTAATTTGATAACAAAAAGCGGCGGCAGTGCCTTTAATTTCAATTAGGTGTAAAAAAAGCGGCGGAGGCGACGTTTACGCCGCAGATTTGTATAAGAATATCCCGTATGTTCGAGGGCGAGTGTGTGTGAGTGAGCGCCGAAGATGCGCGAAAACGTCAATTAATTGCTGCAACAACAACCGCACGGCGCAAATAACGTGGGGCCAAAAGGTGCGAATGAAGCGCAAAAAAAGAAAAATCAATAGGAATAGAATGCAAATCGCTCGGGAACATGTATCGATATACGGCCCAAGCCCAGGTCCAAGTCAAAATCAGCGCCAGCAGGAGCCAGCGAGTCGTCGCTATTAATAAACAAAATTAATATCGCAATATCGGACGGCCGCTGCGTCGCCTACGCAGATGATGCGTTGCAAACGCCGAGTTGCGTAATTGCCGCAGCAAAGTGTGCGAATCGAGTCCGCGAAAAAACAACAAACAGGTAACTTGTATTTCGCCGCTAAAACGTTAGAACAAAGTTCGTGGCCAGAGTCTCCTCTCTAGCGTGTGTGGTCGACCGTCTCCGTGTGCCCGTGTGTGTGTGTTTACTTCGGTGTAAGTGCAAGTTCTGTGCCAACAACAACATGGCCGCCGCAACAGATGGATCTGGCTCTGCCAGGGCAGCCGCAGCAGCGGCATCGACGTCGCCGCGAACAGCATCCAACGGCAGCGTTCTGACCGGCAAACCGTTCGGATCCGCCACCTCGGCTGCTGCGGCGGGTGCGGGCTCTGCGGCAGCCTCCTCCGCCGGATTGCCCGCCTCCGTCTCCCACTTCTACTACAAGCACGGCCTCTTTCTGTCCAGCTACCCGACGTGCGCGTCCAGCATCGCCTTCATGGCGATTCTGCTTTCGTGGTGAGTGCCAAATGTATACATATGTATGTGCAAGATTACGAAGCTGTGTTGATTGATAAAGCTTGGAGTTGATAAAAAGTTCGAGTTTATAATCTGTTAGTCAATCTTGGCATGAGTCGAAATTGCATTTTCGAATGTAGGTGTTTCCGGTATGCACATTGCAAGCCAGTGGTGCGCAGCATAAAGCAGCAGCCCTTGCCCATGGTAAACGATTTTTCTATGCCGCCAATCTGCCGACGCGCAGTATAAATACGCATCAAGTTAGCAGGACAACTTTTGAAATTGCAATTTTTATTATTGACAATTTGCCGTTATTTATCCGTAAATTATTCGTGAAACAATTAATTTTGCCGCTCAACTATTTTAAAAGTTACCAAGACTTTCCAACCATACTCCCACCACAGTACTAATTTGCACCATAAAGCGCTTCGGTGGGAGTGACATGGTGTGGGGATCAGTTGAAGCCTCGCGAGTCGCGATGAGGAAATTTGGTCATCGTCGAGGGTATTATGGTTCGTTCTCAGTATAAGACCATATTTGAACATAATTTGAAGGCATCTGTGGACAAATAATGCCTCGGAACCATCTCGATCCACCAACAGGATAATGATCCTAAGCATACGGCGCATAGCCTGAAGAATTGGCTGCTGTTTTATGCTTTCCGGCAATTGTTTTCACCATCATAAGGCCTGGGCATAGACTTTTGTCACTTTTGGACTTTTGGCATAGACAGTTGTAATCAACTTAGCAGAACATCTCATAATTTTAAAAATAATTGAGCGGCAAATTTTTTTTTTCACGAATAATTTACGGATAAATAACAACAAATTGTCGATAGAAAAAAATTTGCATTTTCAAAAATTGCATTGGTAACTTTATGCACATTATAGAAAGAGCACTTCAATTCCGTTTAAATGACACAAAAGTATTCTTAAGCCATTAAGACCCCCTAAGCTTTTTTTTTGTCCATCTTGAGACACGTTATCCTTTTTCTTTTTTATTGTTGAATGCGCTTAGCACCAAGCTTTAAAATGTGACATTCCCCTTTTTTTTTAATTACTTGGTGATTTATAAAAAATTAAAAAGTAAAACCAATATACTGGCCACATAGGGGGGTAAAATCGCCACACCACTGGGGCAATTTCGTCACCTGAAAAATGTAGGGAGTTTAACGCCTGTAAATATGCTACACTGATCAAACGTACCATTTTTGTTGACGTCCTATATTTGTTGCTGCTGCTGGTAGTCTGTTCGTTAGCAAGCTCGTCAAATAAAAAAATATGTATTTAAAATAGGTGCGAATTTACCCTAAGCATAGGGTGACGAAATTTCCCCACATAGTACTTTTTAGAAATAATTTTTTTTCTTCCGAAATTAGGCGCGAAGTTAAAATTCACTAACGCAGAAATGCACATTATAGCACTGTGCATTATATAAAAAAAACTGTATCGGTATATTTTTGTTATATTTGTTTATTTTTGCTCAAACAAAATAAAAATCAACAATTAACATTTCGAGGGACCGTAATTATTATGAGTTTTATTTTAAAACTCACACAATAATCATTATTTTTGATAAAAAAAAATAAAACTCTAAAATAATCATTATTCATGAGTTTTAAAATAAAAAGCAACAAGAAAGGAAGCTAGCTTCGGCCAGCCGAAGCTTTATATACCCTTGAAGATCATTCCTATTAATTAACAAATCGCAAAAATGTTCAATTTTCTAATATTTCTCATTAATTTTCCGATTGTTCCTATGGCAGCTATATGATATATACGTCCGATTTTGATCAAATTAAAATTGAAATTCGGAAATATTTAAAAAGAGTCATATCCTAGAGTAGAAGATAATACAATAAAAACCAAAGAAGCTAGAATTTATTTCCTATTACTTTTCCATTAATTTTCCGATCGTTCCTATGGCAGCTATATGATATAATAGTCCGATTTTTTAAATAATTATTTCGAAATTCAGAAATGTTTAAAAATAACATCCCCAAAAGTAGAAGATAATATTTCAAAAAACACCGAAGCTAGAATTGTTTTAAGTTTTTTTTCCGATCCTTCCTATGGGAGCTATAAGATATAGTTGTCCGATCCGGTCGGTTCCGACATATGCAATAGAAAGAAGACTTTTACGAAAGTTTCGTCCCGATAGCTCAAAAACTGAGAGACTAGTTTGCGTAGAAACAGACAGACGGACAGACGGACGGACAGACGGACATGGCTAGATCGACTCGTCTTGTGATGCTGATCAAGAATATATATACTTTATGGGGTCGGAAACGTCTCCTTCACTGCGTTGCAAACTTCTGACTGAAATCATAATAATAATTATTTCTGATCATGGAATGGAATGGTGGACAAACGGTGGACAAACGATTCCATGCAAAACAAGAGAGAACGCTATAGTCGAGTTCCTCGACTATTAAATACCCGTTAATCAGCTTAACAACTTTAATATAAATATGCCTTCTTGTATGTTTTTCGCGCGCCCAATTTCAAATAATTTACATTTTGCATTCACATATTCCAAATTAGAGTGACCAGCTTTTTTTCAGCACCAGCAGGAGTGTTGAACACGCGGCGACGGCGCCATCTATGGCACGGAATTGGTACTGTTTGTACACAAAACGGCTTTTTGCGGTTTGTAGGTGTTAGAGGTGGCGTGGCATCTTGATAAAATAAACTTGCTGCGTAGGAAGCCCAAGAATATGTGTAGGAAATCTCAAACTGGACGTTAGTCTAGCTCAGAGAAGCTGGTTCGAGTAAAATGACAAATTCAAATTTTGAAAACGGGAATCGTTTGACCCCCATTTGATCAGTTTTGCCCACCCTTTAGTTTTTTTGACCACGTCCAGTTTCCAAAATATCAAATTTCGAAAATTTTCGAAAATCAAAAATTAGACTTTTTCAAATCTTTTTTTGTGGAATCGTTTGACTCTTATTTGACCACCATTGCCCACCTTTTAGAATTTTGAAAAAGTCAAAACTTTGGAAACTGTGGCCATTTTTCGTTTTTCTCAAAATTCGAACATTTTAAAGTCGTATTTTTCAAAACTTTTTTTGTCCAATCGTTTGACCCCCGATTGACCATCATTAAAAAATTTTACACTTTTAAGTTTTTGTTAAAAACGGATTGAACATCTCTTAAAATTAGTCAATTAGTTTGTCCAATAGCTTAAACTAATTATATTCGACATGGGTTATGCAAAACAGGTAATTCAGCAGTCAAATATCTGAATGGAGAATTATAGCAGGTAGTGAGTAAAGTTTGCAAACCTTGTTACCTGTGCGAAAGGGTTAACATTTTTTACGATACTTTTTATGGGTTTTTCGTAAGAGGTATCTTCCGCAACCTGCTTCAATTTTAAACCTGAAACACTTGTCTCGATTTGAAAATCGCTTTCCTCCTCGAATCTCACATTAGGTATAAAAATCGACACCCAGAACGCACAATTAGTCTATTTTTGTGTGAAAAGTGAAGTGAAAAGTTGTGCGCGATATTTGAAAACGCTTGCAGTGTACCAGAACTATTGTGAATCGTGAATAAAAGTGAAGTGGCATTGTACGAAATTCTGCGTCTTTGTGTTTGTGGATCCTTGTTAATTTTGTTAAGAGTCTTTTTTAAGACTTGCAAATGTTTCAAGTTTGATTTGTGATTTAAATATCAATTCGTCCTGATACCAGAATTTCGTGCTGTGTCATAAGTGTTGGTGCATAAGTGTTATCAGTGTTGTGACTATTCCTTCGATTTGTTTCACAAGGAATTGAAGTGAAGTGGCGTTACACGAAATTCTAAGAAACTTCCTATGTTAGTGTTTTATTTTGCGCATCCTTGTAAATTTTGTTTAGAGTCTTTATAAAGACTTGGTAGTATACATTTAATCTGTGCGTTTTACATTCCCTGTAGTTCGCCGGGACTGGTCCCGAACTAGCGAAATCGCCATACACCGGGGGCTTGGGACTGACTCCCGTTCATACCACCCGCAATGTAAATTTCTATCCACTTTTACCACGGCATGTCCTAGGCGGTGGTCATATGGCGAAGTTCTGCATTACCTTTCGCCACAAAAGGGACCGATAGGTGGTCCCATTTCATACCCCTTTTCGCCACAAAAGGGGCCACCTATCGGAACACCTATCGGTCCCTTTTGTGGCGAAAAGGGGTATTAAATGGGACCACCTATCGGTCCCTTTTGTGGCGAAAAGGGGTATGAAATGGGGTTGGTGTTTTCAATACCAAAAAAGCTGAATGCTATGAAACTTCCCAAGAAAAAATACTTTTTGTTAAATTAATTTATTGTATTATAAGTAGACAATTTTTCTATTTTTTTAATTTATATTTATTGAACAAAATCCTCTGCTGACACGTTTTTGTTGAGTTCCTCATTGTTGTTATTATTTGATTTGAATTTATTTTTAAAAAATCGTTTCTTTTGCAATTGAATTGCCTTGGGAATCAATATTTCTGCATTACCAGATTCTGAAACAATATCTGAAAAGAAAAAAGATTTTAGTGTTTTAAAATAAAATGAGAACAGAAACTAACTTCGGCAAGCCAAAGTTTTAATACCCTTGCAGCTTTCAGGAATAAAATTGTAACTAGAAAAGCATAAATATAAAATAAGAATAACCAACAGTTAAATGTAGACTTATTTCACGCTTTTGAAACTTGAACCGACAGACAGACGGACATGGTTAAATGGATTTACTTTATAGGTTTGAAAAGGTCTCCTTTACTGCGTTACAAACTTCTGGACTAAATTATAATTCCCTCTGCATGGGTTTATATATATATTTTTAGTTTTTGTTATACAAGCCTGTTCACATCAAGCCATGTTTTAAAAGTGAAAAGCAGAAAAAGACTGAAAGAAATAGGATTAAAGACAGATGGCATTCTAAGAAAATAGATTGAAATTGAATCAAGAAACTAAGTATATTATAAAAAATACAGTTATAAAAATAACCTACCTTGGAGTGCACCATAAAAATGTG